TTTTTAATTAGCTGGCGAATTGTCGGGAGTCACTGCGCCGAGAAACCATTGAATTTTTCATAGCGCCGCGACTTTCGTCGCAGTTTTTATTTTTTTATTACAGAGATTAAGAGATGAAACGGGGGTTGATGGATGGGGAATTTAATTCTCCATCGAACAGCATTGGTTTCATTCCTTAATGTTAATTAGGAGGGGAGAGACGATTTTTTAATTAGCGGGCGAATTATTGGGGAGTCACTCTGCGCCGAGAAAACATTGGGTTTCTTATAGCGCCGTGACTTTCGTCGCAATATTAATTTTTTTATTGCAGAGATTAAGGGATGAAACGGGGGTTGATGGATGGGGAATTTAATTCTCCATTGAACAGTCTTTGTTTCATCCCTTAATATTAATTAGTCGGCGAATAAATCAACTGAAAAACATAAAGTAAACATTGAGTACAAGTAGGACAAGAACCCCCACCCGAACTTGTCCCTGTCACAGCGGGACTGCTACTGTCGAGTTACTCACGCACCCGACTCACATTTACCGACAATTCGACCGGGACGCCGCCTTTCCCATGGGGGACCAACTAACATTTTTGGAGTCAGTCAAACCCCCCGATCCAGGCCTCTACTCAGGTCTATCCTCTTTGAGTCCAACTCCGAGATCTGAGCCTCTACTTTAGTCAATCCTCTTTGCAATCATCTTTGCGAAATCATAACAAATTTGTCTTTCACCCGAAGTCCATTCCCATTGTTCATTGGGAATTTGAAAAAGGAATAATAATTTTTTGCCAAATGTAATTAGAATAAAGTCTGATTAACCATGAATTTAATCAAGAAATTTCATTATGGAAATCTCCAAATAGTTTTTTAAAATTAGATTTGACATGTTGCGCCATCTAGGTTCTTTCTCATCATTAATGGCGACGTTGGATGAGAGTGGAAGTGAAACATCTCGGTGGCGATCAGTTATTTCGTGCTTCATTCCTCTCCCTCCTCCACGAAAACCATTTCCTTTTCTTTTTGAAACAGAATTACGTGGTGTGCGGTACTGCACAATTTTCATCCGATTACATCGGCGTAGTGGACCCACAAAACACTAATTAACCATTCAAAATGCCACCAAAATTTGATCCCAATGAGGTCAAGAAAGGTATTTATTTGATCAGACATTGTGTTTTTACAATAAAAATGTGGTTAAAAACATGTGTGACTTAACCTCAATGTCCGTTTTGTAGTGTACCTGAGGTGTGTTGGAGGTGAAGTAGGAGCTACTTCTTCCCTTGCCCCGAAAATCGGTCCCCTTGGTTTGGTAAGTATCTGTTTTTTAGAATTCATAAATTTATCCTGTGATTTCTCTGAGATGAAAATCAATATTGAAGTCTTAAGAACTTATAATTCAGTTTCACTTGACCAACACTTTTCGATGAATATCTCAAGATGCATGAGGAATATAAAGCTATTTGTAAAGTTTTTTGTGTAGAAAATTCCAAAAGCTACAAAAAAGTTTTACACGTAAGTTTTGATATTCCCTGTAATTTCAGAGGTATTGAAAGAGAAATAAAAATTGATTGATGACTTAGTTGACGAAAATATTAAAAATCGTAAATGCAAAATCTTTTAAAATACTTTTTTCCCTTCGAAATCTTTAAGCAATTTCCCCACAAAAAGTGCTGTTATTGGCTCAAAATTCCAATAGTCCTGGTTATGAACAAAAATATCAAAAATTAACATCGATCACAAATATTTCATTAGTTCCTTGCCCCATTCTGCCATGTGGTTTCTAAGGTATTTACTAAATACTCAAAAGAAAATTGACAGAAACAGTATTTGACCATCAGTTCTTGATAAATATCTCGGAATCTATGAGAAATAGCTGAATTCTTGCAAAAACTTATTTGTAGCTCTTGAAATTTTCTACAAAAAACTCAAACTTTTCTGTATTTTTCACAAATAGCCAGATATTCACCAAAAACTCTTGAACGATTCCAAATCGTTTACCCCATTTGATAATTCTCCATGAACTGATTCTGTTTTCGTTCCTCTACCCCTCAAAATTTTAATTCCAGTTGAAAAAAGTACATTGCTTATCCTGAAATTGATATTTTCAGTCTCCCAAAAAAGTTGGTGATGACATTGCCAAAGCCACAAGCGACTGGAAGGGTCTGAAGATCACAGTACAATTGACAATTCAAAACAGACAGGCTACGATATCAGTCGTTCCATCAGCAGCATCTCTCATCATCAAGGCCCTTAAGGAGCCCCCACGTGACAGAAAGAAGCAGAAGAACATTAAGCACAGTGGAAACCTGTCCTTCGACGATGTTCTTGCTATTGCACGTGCAATGAAGCCCCGTTCCATGTCCAGACAATTGAGCGGAACTGTTAAGGAGATCCTTGGAACATGCCAGTCTGTGGGATGCACCATCGAGGGAAGACCACCGCACGATGTCATTGATGACGTCAATTCTGGGGAGCTTGAGATCCCAGAGGAATAAATGGTGGGTATTGAGTTCTTAGTCAATTCTTCATTACAATATTGATTATAAAAGTCGGCTATTTTATTACTGCTCAGCTTTCGTGAAATAAGTTAAGGTTGATTACTGACTTTTAATAAATCAACACATAATACTGCATTTTTCATGGTTTTTCTAAGAATTACATTTTTTTTATTGTAAGACCAAGAGTCAAATTGAAATTAGTGCCTTGGGATTTCTCATCATTGTAAGACGTTCGCTAGGCATTAGAAAATACATATTGTAATGAAATTAATTGGCTGTGAGCTCTGGTAGGGGTTGGCATCCCATCCACCTATTCCAGTCTCCAAGATCCACTGGATTCTGGGCAGGCATAAGAGCCATTGGGGAGTAAACCCCAATAAAAAATCAATTACACCCGTTTAAAAATACAACTTTATTTAAATCCTTCGTTTTTTGTTATCACTTGCAGATGTTCCAAGAGATCTCCGATAAATAAAATTTTATAAAACCGACTATTTTTTGAATTCTTTAAAAAAATCCTAGTTTCCTCTAGATTTTATGATGAAATATCTTAAGTAAAATGGAGCAATTAGCCAAAAACTGCACAAATTTATTTTCCAATTGTAAAAAAATTTAAAAAACAAATGCAAGAACGCTCATGATTAGTTAATTATTCATGAGCTATCAATTAAATATACTATTCAACAAAATCATCCTCCACTTCAATATTTTATTTCTCTTCTGGAAGAAGAATGCAAAACAAAAAATTCTACACACGGAACAAATTTGAGGAAAAATTACAAAAACTGAAAGTTGACGATGCATAATCCAAAAATCATGTGGACGAAATACTTGAAATTTTGGTAATGGCTTTTCAACCTGCGCAACAACAAATGATTTACATTTTGGATTCCCAGAACATTGCGAAATTTTCACCACTTATAAGTGACTGAGAAAATACCTTATGATTATACAAGCATCTTTTACAGTTTGGTACAGACCACACTAAAGATTCAACCATTTTCAATCATCAAATTTGTCAATTGAATTGTTTGACAAAAATTTGAAAAAAATCCTGAATATTCAGCGTCATTCAAATTACATTTTGCACGAAATTATTATTTTTATAAACATTCATTGTTTATAAATAAGTAATTGAAATTGTTTGAACTTTCGGGAATCTTATTTTTTCAGCGATGAACTCGATTTTTGGTCAATTTGTTACGATTCCTAACAAATGATTTTTATGGTGGAAAATTGATTGTTTATAAATTATTTATAGAAAATGCTCGTATTTTTAAAAAATTGCAATTTTGAATTATTTTCTCAATCTTCTTCCCAAAGTGAATTTTCCAATTTTATTCCAGATTTTTAAAATGTTTTCTGACGGTTCAATATCGAGCTTTAGATTCAGACCTGCAAAGTTTAAGTATTAAACGTATTGTAAAATGTCCCAAAACTTAGGGCCAAATGGGGCTTAAATGAAAGATCTGATGTTCGAATACAAAAGTAGAAAAGCATTTTACTAAAGAAAAAATAGCCCAAGTACTTGGATATCCGTAATCATAGCTAAGTAATTCGGCCAAGTTTTTTCATGGGGAAATTCTCTTCACAGTTCATAGATTAGTCCAAGAGTATTTTTTTTGTCATTCCGGCCGTGAGGCAGCGCTTCATGGAGGCTCCGCTCCGCTCCGCGTCCGTGAATCTCTGCCTACGGCAATCATAACAAAAAATACTGTTCGTCATACGGCCAAAAAAAACTTTTCTAGCTCATATGATTGCAGCCCTCGCCTTCGGCTCGGGCTACAAACTCATATTCGCCATAAAAGATTTTTTCGGCCTAGTGACGAAATATACTATGAGGCGCAATATCAACCTTTGTTTCCCAACATTTTATCGAGAAATACTATTTTTCGACACAGTGACGATTCTTTGTAACAATGTTTGTGAGCGGTTTTTAGCACGCGCAGCATGCATGAAACTAGGTTTCACGAACTGAGTGACAAAATAGTATATTTCGTCATTAGGCCGAAATAAAACTTTTCCGGCGAATATGAGTTTGCAAACCGTATGACGAACAATATTTTTTGTCATAACGGTTGTAAGCAGAGATTCACGGACGTGTAGCGTGCATAAAACGCTGCCTTATGGCCGGAATGATAAAAAAGCATTTTTGAAAAATGAAATTTAACGCATGGCGTCCATAAGAGTATACTTCCACCTTCAATCCAATAGTTCATAGCCTTAAATTGTTCACAATATTCATTGAAGAAATTCCCGAAAAAATGTATTTAACAATAAAAAATCGAAAAAAGCATGAGGATGGCAAGATTTTCAGCAAAACTGAAACCTTGCTTGAAAAAAAATTAAGCAAAATACTTGGATATCCTTAAAGCACTGTTCATTGGATTACATCTCACCCCACAATTACCTTTCGGAAAGTGAAATTTTTCGAGATTTTTTGGATAATTTCTCCTCAATTTGTCTATCCGTGAATTTGTTAAAAAAAATCACTAGTCTATAATCTCAGAGGTATCCGCATAAATAGCTTGATTCCGTCTCTTGAGTTTCTTCATATTGGGTTCCACCACGGGTTCCACTTCCTCCCCCTCGCCCCTCCCTTCCTCACTCCCCACCGCACCCTCATCCTCATCTCTCAGAGCAGATTCATAACTAATTGAGTCCTGGAACGTCAGATCATCGTCGAAATCTGCAGAAATATCTTGTTCGTCCCCCACAGACTTGAAAGACTGTGACAGTCCCTCACCCTCCTCAGTCCTCCCCTCCCCACCACTCATAATCAACAACAAACTCGGGGGGTCATCCACTCCCAATTTATCACAGAAGTCTGTCGTCTGCCTATTCACCCTATACTTCAACGGTTTATCACTTTTCTGAGGTGACTCTGGATTATACGCCTCCGCCGTCCTCTCAAAGTTCTCCGGAACCCTCAGGCACCCCTCGAACTTCTTCAAAACATTCTCCTTTTCACTCTCTGAAGGTGTGAAGTTCCATCGGCCAGAACAGCCCGGTCCCGGCATGTAGTGCACTCCATTCTTCACAGATAACAAATGATTCGTCAGAAAGAGGATTGTCAGCCACTCGAGGTCATACGATAGCTCCATGGAGGCATCCTCGTCATGAGAGATGTCCAAAACCTGTGAAATGAATTGGATGTGATCATCTGCATCAAGACAAACTGAATTAAAAAAGTCCAGGGTTGAAAGAATAATGACATTGATTACATTGTCAAAGGCCTGGGAAGGGAGTTACACTCCTAAATATCATGAGATAAAAATGTCGGAATGATAAAATCTATGGAAATCATATATTTCAGGTCTAGGCATGGAAACCTACCCTCCCTTATTGGCAAGGACGGCAAGCACGTGAGGGAGGGCCATAACTTATATATGGCGTGATGTAAACCACATTTTCATTGTCTGCCTTTAAAAATGTTATGTCATATTTGTTATCCAATTTTAATTAACGAGATCGGTCGCGCGTGCTACGCACGCTCCTTCTCATCTCCTCACATAGTGGCGCTTCGGTTTCAATCTTAAGGTGATAGTGATTCGAGATTATCGAGATCGATTTCCTTTCTTCTTTTTACGATAGGATCCATTCAAAATTGAATGGAAATTAGTATATTGTCACAATTCTGTGAATTGTTGGCGAATTTATCCAGATTTTACAGGGATTACTATTTTTGAAAGATGCTCGTTTGCCACGTGACTGATCATGAAATCATTGCATAGTTTTCACCGTTTAGCTATCCATATGTTACGAGGAATGTGTGAATAGGGGAATTAGAAAGAATTGAGCTTCATGCAAATTGCCTATTGTATCGTGAAACAATCTGATAACCTGCAAGAACGGTCTTTTCGTCAGACATTTGTCGAGTGCTAGAAATTTAGTGGATCTGGTGTTGTCTTCATTCTGGATAATTGCTGCGAATTTGCAGTGGAGATGCGCTGAGAACCAATATTTTGGGTAGTGGTGGGTTAATAGCTCCATGCAGGGAGGACTCCCGAGTTGATCAGCCGCAATGTCGTCCTTGAAGTGTTTTTTTCGTCTCAGCAGAGTCTGTTCGTCCCCGAATTTGGTGACACCGTTGGGCCAGTCGTGGGAGAGAAAAATATCAATGTTTCCGGTCAGCTGTTTTAGCCTGAAGATCTCCAGGTTTCTGATGTGGTAGACACTGCGGAGGGTAGAGTCGTTATAGGGGGGCAGCTCGAAGTGACCCCTGAGGTAGTGCTGGGCTTTGTAGATACCGGATACACCAGCTATCCTGAGGCCACCGATGGTCAGCACGCTTGCGTAACCCAGATAGTAGATTTTTGGGGCCACCCAGCCACCGTACGAGAGCTCCTGGAGGTAGCTCGAGGCCTCGTGGTTACCGCCGATGAAGAGCGTGAGGACAGGCGCGGTTTTCTCCCCCGAGTAGTATCTGGAAAGTTATTTATTTGGTTTTAAATAGGAATGTTGTGTTAGAAGCTGACTTCTGAATGGAAGCATTACAATCGTTCAATTTTGGCAATTTTGTAGTTTTGCTTAGAGATGATGTAAATTCACTCTTCGAAGGTCAATTTTTCGTAAATTGAATGTATAAACCCCTAAAACAATTTCAAAAAATTGAAATTTTGCCACAGATCATCGGCATTGACTTGGACTAACTTGACAAAATTTTAGCCTGACCGGGTCATTATTTTTTTAGAAAAAGCGTTTCGTTTCAAATCATTTTTCACGAATTTATAATAAAAAGGAAATAGAGAAAATGTATTACGCGTTTATATTTTTCGAAATTTTCTCGTGTTTTCTTCTATCTATAATAAAAAGGGTATGGTCAAAATATCCCACGCGCATGTTTTCTTCTCTCTTTTCTATAATTTTTAGTGAATAGGATAATCTGCAATGAAAAGGAGATCAATAAGGATATTGCTTATTGTTTACTGAAATTGTTCAATATTCAGTTCGAAATGTTGCGCGAAAATTGGCACCAATTAATTAATGTCCATCTTCCTGACTAACGTTAATTGTATTAGAATGGAGAATTGTACTATTGGCGATG